TCGGCAGCCCAGGTAACATTTGGGGTCAATAGTAAAAAAAAAAAAAAAAAATTATACTTTTATTAATCAAGGACACATTAAATTGATTAAAAAAAAAGTGATGGTAAAGATATTTAGGCTATAATGCTACAAAAGATTCTATTTTAAATAAATGCTGTTCTTTTTAACTTTCTATTCATCAAATAATCCTGACATATAAAATGTACCACAGTTTCCACAATCTCCAGTAGTAACAAAAATAGTATAACTAAAATCCTCAATCCGAAAATTGAGCGTTAGATCTAGAGCATAGATCAGCATCGATAATAATCAAGTTTCTTGAGCAGCAAATCATTATATTAGAATGATTTCTGAAGGATCATGTGACACTAAAGACTGGAGTAATGATGCTGAAAATTCAGCTTTGATCACAGAAAGAAATTATTTGACTATATATTCACACAGAAAACAGCTATTTTAAACTGTAATAATATTTCACTTTTCTACTAGCAAGTTATTCCGCTCTTGCTGCAGGGTCAGAATTTTTACTTCTCTTGGCGGTGGCATTTGGTAAAATAGCTTAAAATTGTTTAAAATAAATAAATAGGCAATAATAAATACATTACTAATAAATGCATAATTACTAAACTAAAATTAAATGCTCTTTTTTTGTGGCATTTTTCTCATATTGTACAAAGAGTAAACATAAACCACCTAAAATATATATTTTTTTAAATATCCCAAAATTGCATAAAAATCTAATCCAAATGATACTAAATTAAAGTACTTTTTGTATATAAACCATCAATTGAATATAAAAGCACAAAACCTGCCAATCTAGGACATATCATGGAAAACACTCTGCAGTGGTCACACCACATGATATTTGGTCGCACCACATGATATTTTCAAATTCAGTAAAAATTTACAGGCACAGAATTGGCCACCTAAACAAAACAAGCTAGCTTCCCACAAAAGGTCACTATAAAATGTATAATAAAAATATATATTTGTAGAAATAACTTTAATATTAATTTTTTAAGGTCATACCACATGACATCCAACTTTGGTAACTAATTACTACCATTACTAAGGTTTATTTATTTTTCCAATTTGAGAGAATTACAAGCCTGCTTGTGGCTTCCATGGGTCCTTGGTAAATTGGTATATGATGTAAGTTCCTGTGTTTGAATAGTTTTCAGCATAAAAGTCCCAAAATGGTAGTTCCTTGATGGTCGCACCACATGATATTTCATATAATGGACATCGTCGGACAAAGTTTGTTTGTATATTATGATGGAAATATAACTACAAATGCTTTGAATTTTTTTTACAGAATTACAAGACACTTTGGAAATCATACCATAGAGAGCAGAAAATATTTTTTTATAAATATAATTTCAAAGACGTTTTCTAAACAGAAGTTTGGGCCGGACGGTCCATATCACTACATGATATTTTGACACTTTAAATAACAAAAAAAGTTACAAATAACTAGAGGTTTTTGAAAAGTTAAAGTGAGTACATACATGGGAGAGGTACTACGAATATACAGTATCTTTTTATGCATTTAAACCTGTTTTTACCTGAAAAAATCCAATCGGACAGAAAATGTAGGCGTCACATCATTGACCCATATATATGAATGCAAATAACATTTGAAGCCAGACATGAAAGTTTTTTTTTTTAACCTCATTATTGTTTTTTGTCCTGTTAATCCTTTATATTTCTAACTTCTTGACCTCAGGTGGATGGTGGTCATGTACTGTATGATTGTGGTTTTTCTGTAGTTCATTTTTAAATGGTTAATTAAAGTGACAGTGTTTCAACTCACCCCAGTTACAGCACCGCCTGCAGTAAGTTTTAAGTGAAAGGCCTGTCTGATGTTCTGTCACATGTCAGGTCTAACCTGTTACTCAGAAGTAAACCTGAATTTCTGTCTCTCCCTGTTGTATCATTCACAAATGCATGCACATAGATGTGCAAAACAGAACATAGTGACACTAAGGTTATGAGTTTTGACAGATGACGCAGCAATGGAATTATGTTAGAGTTTTATTTTCGAAGAAAACACCTAACATTGTAATACAAGTAATTCTTCTACGGGGCTGTTCAATGCTTGAATCTGATTTGTTTAAGAACGTACTAAGGTGTGCTATTATTTTCAGGGAAACGCATGGCTAAAATAGTTCCAGGCAGGTTTTGACCGCATCAGTTCCATATCACTTCGTCAAATGATTTCAGTTACTGGTATTTCAAAGATCCTTACAGCCTACACCAGCGAAAGAACCAGAACCCACAACGACACTGACCAAACAAATAAATATAGTAAACAATAGGATAAAAACGAAAAATTATTTCCATGTTTTTGCAACATAATTACGTTCTATTAAGTATTTATTATGGAAAAGCACGTACTCTCTTTCTCCCACTCAAACGCACTCACATACAGTACGGACACACTCGCACAGAAACCTGTTGTCAGCGCTGCTCTGACGGTTTTATCAGTAAAATAGTTAAGCAGATAGCAATTATTAGCGATGTAATAACGGCACGGCACTGTTCTTTGAGCAGATAAACTTACAGCTTTTGACAAACACTGTTGAGAGACACACAGATTCAGGTAATTCATACACGGCACACTTGCTTAATCTCTATCTCTCTCTGTCTCTGTCTCTGTCTCTCTCTCTCTCTAATAACTGCATTAGTCTGCTATCAGTGGCTCAAGCCTCCTGTAGGCTACTAGCTCTAAAATTACGTTTTGTAATTAGCAACGGAGGCTTGGGAATGGGATGAGATGAAAAATAATGCACACCCGAGGTGTAACGGCAACTCTTCTCCACTTGGCCACATTATTTGTTATGTGCATTATTTTTCTAATAAATAAACGGCCTGGAGTCAATTATTCCTTACATATATTTGTTGACTGTGGGACAGGATGAATTTTTATTATGAAGCCCAACTTGAATTAAGTGCACTTCTGAGCTTTACTTTGGCAGAGACCATGAGTACTGTGAAATATATAAAGATATATTGTTTCTTTTTTAAGAAAGAGTAGCTTATTTCTTAGTTCATAAAAAGCGTATACATCCTTGAGGAAAGGCACAAAACTATTGGAGAATAAACAAGACAACCTTTGTTATTGGTCATTTACAAGACACTCATTCAAAGCGACAAAGTACACTGCATTGACAGTCCCCTTGGACACGACAGCCCATAAAACAATAAATGAGCTGACAGAGGGGTGACAAATTTATATCCAAGAGAGCAGAAGAGTATATAGTTGTCCATAAGGCTGAGCTTTGGAACTCAATAATGTATTTATTAATGTATAGTCATTCCACCATCACAAATGATTTTATGGAAAAGTTTTTTGCATTATTTGTAATTGAGCTGAAGAAGAAAGCAAGGGACTGGCTCCACGTAAGCACTTGAGCTTTTTAGGAGAAACTTTTGTACCATGTAAACGGAACTTTTTTATGAGTTTTAGGATTATACACTCCAACCTTGCAACTAATTAAGTATTCATTTGGCTTCATACATCCTGATTATCTTCAGATGTCCATCCAAATATTCAGTGGCATTGAGCCTACTGACAGTGATTCTCCAGCCAAAAAGGGACAATGAGACATTGAGTAGCTTCAGTTTTCAGATTTTGCCTGGAACTCGGCTATTACCAAGGAATTTTGTGAGGTCATAGCATCTTTTTATTACAATAATTATGATTTAAGACCTTGAAGTTTTATAAGCATTAAATCAAGAGTCAGTGACAATACTAAAAACACGGACAGCTTTCAACAAATCCAGAAATGCAAAAACATTTGCTCTTTTTTTTTTTTATACATTTTTTATTATTATTAACTGTGTAACATTTAGCCTATTTGGGCTGCCGTTTTTAAGGCTGTTAAACTCTGTAAACGTGAATGCATTCCTATAAGACAAATCTTGAATCTCCCTCAGTGCTGAGCTCTAGTGGACTGGAGAATTTGTTTCTGGTTTAAAAGTTGTGCTAAGAATTAAAAAAGGCAATGTCACAAAGATCTGGTTTACAGAGTTTAGTGTTTAAAATACATTATATGACTATTGTTGTGTATGATCATAATTGATTATTTTGAAATCCAAGACTTTTCTTACTCATGCTTTGTATTTTCGTTAAATCCAATACATTAAAACATATTTGGTTGGTACTTTGCTAAAAAAAAGAAAAAAGGTGGGCAGGCCATTGGTGTCTGCAACAGTGTATATATGTTGTACATGACCTATAGGCTATAACACAATATTTATTTATTTCCAGAAGGAACTAAGCCTTCCACGCAGAGGAAATATGTGAGTATAGTGAATATATCAGTCTTCTTCTTACTCTAATATAAAATGTTGTCACTGTCATAGCTTTCAGTAACGTGTTTTTTGACAGTTCTAGTAGCCTAATATAAAACAAAATCCAAAAAGTCTGCATTGAAAATGAAAATAAAATAAGTTTTTCAGCCCCATGGAGAAAAGACAGATATCAAACCTGTAACATTTTTAGTATCTATATTGTATTTTACAAAAACAAAATGTTTAGTCAAAATATATAAGGGCAGTGAGGTCAAATCATGTGGTTTTAAGCATTATTATTAATTTGTCAGAAACAAACGGAAATTAGTTAATTAGTTATCTGTCTGCAACATCTTAAAGATGCACTCAATATTTTTTTGATTTCCTATGTATTAAGATAGCCTACCGGTATTTATTAAATGTGTATTAACATTCATAGAGTTAAGAAGAAATTACATCATTGGCATGAATGAATTTACAACCTCGTGACGCTCATATGAATATTAGTCTTAAAGCCATGTCAGAGGACGGAGTTTATGAAAGTTTGGGAGTGTTTTCATTACTATCCTTAACATTAGTAGCCTACACGCGCCATTACCAGTAAGTTATGTGTGGACACTCTATGCATGTAAAGTGAAAGAAGGCGGGTTCCGTTGCCCGGCGCGGTGACGTTCAAACCCCACCATGACCCTTTCTTTCAGTCAGAGTCAGACTATGACAACTTCCTCCACTCCGCACACCCGCATTTCTTTTATTGTTTCCCTAAACTTGCAATCGCTACAGTTGTGTTGCTGTACCTTTAAACCAGCGAGCAGCATCTGTTTCGCAGTGACAGGGCTTGAGTATAACCAGACGATGGCATTTTCCAAACCCATGTGGCATTGTGTCACTTGTGAGAAAATAACGCGATGATGGTATCGTCGCTGCTGTTCCTAAGGCGCTTTCTGTGACTGTCTACTCCCCCGCATTGCATGCAATGGATTCTGTGTCGACATGAAGTTCGTCTGGGAATGATATTAGACCTCAATGCGTTTACTCGTCGCAATGCTGTGGTGCGGTGCGGTGTACCATCGATGAGGATTTGATAACTGTGGGCAGAACGAAGACGAATACACCGACATCATGTCTGATCGGAATTACTGGACTGTGTGTCCGAGTTATAAAAGTCAGTTCGTTTCAGGAGGCTTAGTCAAACGACCCAAAAGGTAACGACGAATTTAAGCATATTACTGTAACGTTATATTTCCATTGATGTATATTTCCATTACTAATCGACAAGGTTGGTCCGCAAAACTTGGTCTAACTTGAAAAAATTCCACAAGCGCTACTGCGAGCAATGTGCTTGATAAAGTAGATCGAGAAACAACTACTATAATGAAAAAATATGTCTTAACACTCTCGATCTTGTTGTGGACAGCATACACTGTTTTTCCACCCAGTCCGTTTTTGTTTCCGATAGTAAACGTGGCCCATGTACGGCTGAGCGTCTGCTGCTCATTGTCCTGTTGGCGGTGGATGGTCATATTCTGTTTTCTAGTCTTCACATAATGTTTATAACGTTACAGTTAAACCGTCTGTATGTTGGGTCTGTGATGACTGTGTCATTGTTATGTCGGTTTGACGCCTTTGTCAACAAAGTTAGTGTACGCAATAACTAGGCTAACGTTAGTCTGTCGTCAAAAGTTATACTAGAGTTGAGGTTAATTAAGGCGGTTTTTAATGTTTATTTTTAATTCTTATTATAAGTCTTACGCATTATATTAAACGTTTTGTGAGGAAAAAGTGTAAGAAGCATGTTAAAAATGTGTATGTTGAACTGCAACATTTTAGGTGCAAATTTTTACTAATTAAAAAGTTTTACACATTAAAAAATAAACAGTGCTTTAAAAATGTCTCATTAAACTGATATATGCTCATATGAGATGAATACTCCTGTCATTTCAGTCTTGGAGATAAGTGTTTTATTATGTTTATTTCTACATAGAGAGGGTCGCCCTCTCATGGGTGCTGCCATTTTGATGTCACATGACCAGTCTTGTTGTTCATTTGAGTGGGCACTAGAGAGATGCACCGATGTATCGGCTGCTGATATTTATCGGCCTATTTTTGATCAACTTAAAACCATCTTCATTTCAACTATAGCACGGAAAAGGCAGATAGATGGTTTTGATTAATTAACTGCACGAAGGCATTGAGTTGAATGTCTGTGGCATAATTCAACGTTTTTCTCTGGGTAAAATAATTAAATATTTGCCAAAACAAAATGAAATCTATACAAAATATAGCAGGGCTCAACAATACGGCCCAGTGCCAGCGTGAATGATGCTCGGGACAATTAGTGGAACTGTCACTAGCTATGTTTCCATCACCCTGTTTTTAACACGCATTTTGAAGTATTGCATCAGAAACGAGTGATGGAAACGGCAAAAAAAAACTAAATCCCTTAATTCGCAAAAAAGTTTTTACGATCGCTTGAGGTGGTTTTTGACTTGTGAGAAAAAGAGTTCATGCGAATAATGGGAGATTGAAACGCATTTCCCGAATAATTTCTGATGGTGTAACCGTACACAAAGCTGACGGTTCGGTATGTACCTCGGTTTTGACGTCACGGTTCGGTACACAAGGGAGGGAGAAAACTAAACACAAAATTGCTTTTTTCTTATTAACCATTAAAACAGTGATTGAGTGTTTACACAAGATATACGTTTCAGTAAGTTACTGAATCTTTCAAAATGCATTCAGATGTTCATTCATATTTATTAGGATGAGATGATCGCGTTCACTCGTGCTGCTACTTACACTGAGGCGCCTATTGTGATCTGTCATGCCACGTTAAATAGTGTCAAAACCTGGGAGCAAGATTTTGAAAGGGGGGCTTTCAGGTGTTCATGGTGTTCACGAGTTTACACCAAAGATTCGACATGTTATTACTTGCAAAATAATTGCCTACAACATTCTAAAATCTGCCAGTTTAATGCGACATGTAAGCTAGGCTATGTATTGTTTCTTTTGCAACGACTCTATTATTTTTCCAGTCATAGACCAGCGCTCAAGCACTGACTAGAATCAGCATTCATGTGCTCAAAAATGTGTTTCGTGCTGACAACAATCCAGTGCTGACTAGAATCACGCAGCGGAGGAATGGAAAGTTGACAAGCCATTTAAAAAGTATTGACTTAAGAACCACTTATATATTTTCAAATATTTTCAATAAATCATGTTCCCATTCACTCCAGCGATGAATTTTAAAATGAATTAAACTAAATTCTATTTATAAGGTTAAACTTTTACATTTTTAGGCATTAACTAATGCCAATGCCTAATGCCACAATGTTTTCTTTGTTCACCAAGTAATTTACTGGTCAGGCATTATTGTTAACTCTTAAGACTGTAAGGAGAAAATGACAATTTGATGGATAATTTAAATATAATCTGTAATCACATTTTGGTAATGTATTAATTCCGCCGTCACATCTGAGCACGAACCGCTGCTTGGATAGTTTCAAGATAGTTAAATATAATAATACAACAATAATATTTTAATTGTTCATATGTGTTTATTCTTGTTAGAAGATCTTTTTTTTTTACTGATTATGAACACAAATGAATCATGACAAATTAATTGTAAATAATTGTATTAATTATACCATTAATGAAAACAAGCTGATACCAAGGTATTTTAGGCCTACAATTCTAACATATTTTTTCATGAAAAATCATGATTGTATTTTCTTTTTTCGAAAGTAAGGTTAATGTAAGCAGCTTCTTGCAATACTTTCCTAAATTCGCAATAAAACCTAAGTGCAAACATTACCGTTTGAATGACCATACAGCCTACGGTCGTTTTTACTGTCCAGTGACAGCCCATCTTTTATATAGCCTACTTTGAGTGGCATGGGAGAGAGTCGGAAGTTCATTTGTTGCCCCTATGAGTTTATAATAGCATATTTTAACAAGATTGTTCTTGTTGTTATTGTTCTATTTTATTTAATATTTTTACATTTAACATGAACAATCAAACATTTAACATAAAACAAGAATTTCACAACAATTGTTGTCTACTCATTTGTCCATTTTAAAATTATTTATTCATTAACATTTTTATGTTTTAATTAAATTGATTTATGCTATTCCTTATTCTTTCGGTTTATAAGGTGTCACAACAAATCCTGCATTCATAGTCTTCCATACATAATAGCCTCTGTGACATTTAGTCACTTATCAGTTCAAAATCACAGTCCACAAACAGTGCATTTAAAAAAAAAGATTTGTCCACTTTTGCGTGGGCAAATACACTATCATAAAAACAATTGAGCAAAATGGCGCCGCCGAACAAGAAAAAGGGACATGGATAATGGATAGGGGGCGCTGGCCCAAAAAGGTTTGAGAACCACTGTTATAGAGGAATAGAACAGAAAACCTCATACATCCTGGCCAATAGGTGGCACTGTAAATTCCAAAACCACTGGTACTATTGCACTGTTGGGACGAATAAGAGCCAGCAGACCAAAACTTTACTTAGTTCACCTTTAAATTCAAAGCCTTTTTCAAAAGCAATTTATGTACTTGTCATTTACACAGGCCTGTTAACAGAAACCAAAAACACTCAGTGTTGATTAAGGTACACCAGCAAGGAAAGGTTTTAGTAAACCCAAGTTGTGTTCCAGTACCAAGGACATTAACAGAGCATCCCTCTAGATGGCTTTAATGAAAACAGAGTATTTTTGCCTTTAACAAGAGTTTTCTTTCCACAGTAACCGGAACAAGAGGAAGAGTCTGGCTCCCTCACCTACTCTATCAAGACCGCTCTCACCCCTTCCTTTCCCAACTGGTAGCTATAATTACTTTGTTTTGCTTCTCTCCCAATTAAGATAATGATAGATGTGTGATTTACACTGTGCCTGATTATAAACACCAGGTAGTGTAACATGCTTGGACATCTAGCCCACTGTTTGAATATGCCAATGGGCAATGCCAGTAACACTCTGTCAACAAAGCCTCTTAGAGGAGCGCCACTCAGTACACAACCACTTTGGCATCCAATGACAGTGTAAACCAACCATAATGTGCGTGTTGCTCATGGAATGTGCATTTTCTACAGGCAGCAGTCCACTGGACAGTCCCAGAAATGTCTCCAGCAGTCCTTCGGTCAATTTCCCGTTCATACGGAGGTAAGAGCTGAGGAGAATGAGGCTGCACACTACAAACATGTCCAAATTTATACACATTATTAATTTATGTTAAATCTTGTCCCCCCTTTCATAATGGCAGTATATAAAACCAAGACATAAGTGTGGAAAAATGTCTAGCTGGCAAACAATAAGATTGAGCGTTCACTGCAGCTGCCCTTAAGGCTGTATCGGGGATGGGAAGCTTGGCATTTGTCACAGCAATTATAATGAAGTCAGCGTGTAGCCTCATTACTTTACACTGCCATGATTATGTACTGAGGCTCCATCCACTTTTATTAATGCTTGCTTAAAATGATGTGACCCTACCAGCCTCCTTGTACAGCTCAATGAAGATTGAATGAGTTATTGTTGTTTTTTTGTGTCCTTAATGTGCCCTAAAGCATACATCTATTTGTAGATAAATTATATAACTGGCTAGAGGATGTTCAAGATCTTAAAAGTGAAATGAGCTCTAGTTTTTTTTTTTTTTTTTTTTAGTTAATTATAATTATCCTAGCATTACTGTCAAAGACACAAGCTTTATCATTTAATAGCATTTTAAATGTTTCAGACAAACATGTAAATCTGTCTGGTATAAACACTACTGTTTAAAAGTGTAGGGTCAGTAAGATTTTTAAAAAAATAAGAAACCAATACATTTATTCAGCAAGGATTAATTAATTTGATCAAAAGTAACCGTAAAGACATTTATAATTTTACAAAAGATTTCTATTTAAAATAAAGGCTGTTTTTTAAAACTTTCTATTCATCAAAGAAAGAATCCTGAAAAAATGATCACATTTTCTACAAAATATTAAGTAATTAAATGTTTCTTGAGCACAAAATCAGCATATTATAATGATTTCTGAAGGATCATGTGACACTGAAGACTGGAGTAATGATGCTGAAAATTCAGCTTTGCAATCAGAGGAATAAATTACATTTTAAAATATATTAAAATAGAAAACAGTTTTTAAAATGGTAAATAATAGTATTTCACAAAACTAAATGGTAATGTATATGTATAAAGGAGTACACTGTCATTTGTTGATGGTTGAGGATACTCTTTTGTTTTGCAGCCATTAAAATAACCAGCACTTTGATCCATACCAAATATCTGAATGGAACCTGCATATAAAAGTGTCTTCCTGTATCTCTGCCCTATTTCAGACCGGACACACGAAGGTGGTCTGTGGCGTCTGTCTCGTCTGGATATGGAACCAATCCACCCAGTTCTGCTGTTTCAGTGAGTGAGCCCTCTCAGTTATTCTGAAAAAAACCTCTTTGTTTTCCTTTTCTTTAGCCATCAATCCAGTTCATCCGCAGTGTTTTTCTGTATATGTTATAACTGCACAGAGCATGTGTTTAACCTATGATCTATTAATATAATGTATATATTAATAGATCATAGGTTAAACACATGTGATCTATTAACATTATATTAATAGATCATAGGTTAAACACACATTATCTATGATCTATTAATATAATGTATATATTTATTGTTATATATACTATACACTATTTGTTTTTGCTTTTGGAGTGGCAGTACAAGTGCAGCCAGTTGGAAAAGAGACTAACAAGTACACAGCATGCTAGATTTTCTCATTAATATTGATGAACTTTACAGTGTTAAAGTATTCATGGTCCCCACAGCCACCTTAAAATATCAGGGAATGGAAAAATAGTGATTTCCAAGCTTTAAAAAAACCCCTGTAAAAGGCTGGGGAATTTCTTTAATGAATATACTTTTTCCTCATGCTCTAAAAGGTTTTTTGGCTAGATCAGGGGTTCTTAAACTTTTGGGGGCAGAACATTTTCCAGGGACTTCACTTATGTCCCAATATCCATGTAAAACAGCATCCTTCACATGCACAAAAAGGTGTTTGGAATACCGGCACAGCCTACATATTGTACAACAGACAATTTAAATTGAGCCAAATAAATTTTGATGATTTATAGACTATAGACACATTTCCATTACTGATTTGCACAAAACTTTTGCAATATTTTCCAAATTTCGATAAAAAACTATTGCGAAATGATGGCGTTTCCTTTAATTGTTGTTACCAACAGATGTTGGTAGGTTTATGTATATCCCAGCCACTGCACTAGCCATTATTTTTAATGGAAGGAGACGAAGGCGTGTTATCAAAGCATTAATGGCAAGGAAAGCCCTTATACTTATGACCAGCGCATATGAGGTGTTTCTCCCTCATATCTGCTTCAAGGTATTGATAAATGGTGGCATTTCTTTGTTGTTTAGAATCCAGTATTCCTGTAATTCTTTTGTCTTAAGTTTAATGAAGAACTCTGTCTCGTTTTCTGTCCAAACACCGTGCCATCTTAAAAAAATTATCGACTTTTACATACGTCAGGTGACCTGTAAATGCGAAAAAAGTGTTTCCATTGCAGTTTGTCTCGGCCTCCTTGAACTTCTTTCTGGAGCACGTCACAAAAACGAACCAAAACACAGCGAAAACCTGTTGCACAGACATGAGAAATACATCTATAAAAAACCTTTAAGTGTCTACATTTTGCTTATTTGACGCTAAACTAATTATATAATTCACTTTGGAATTTAAGTCGCCGCACGTTTTAGGTGATACAAAAATTTGACTTATAGTCCGGAAATGATTTTGCGCACCCCCTGGCTATTGGTTGCGAACCTCACTTTGAGAACCCCTGTGCTAGATATTGCTTTCCATAAAATTAATTGTTGAAATCATAGTAGTAATCGGTATCTTTTTATATCCTTTGTCATTTTGGGTAATTCTCAGTATACAGTTCATATTGTAAATTAATTTGTAGATTTATTTTCAAGGAAATCATTTGAAAAACAGCCTCTTTCTCTGATTTGAATTTTTATATGGCCATTCATGGCTCATGCGATGAGGTCAGCCTTGTTCAACAATGTCCTATTGAGCTAGTGTCAGTGAAGACTTTATTCAGAGGGAAGCTGTGAAGCTTCTCTGGTTTCCTCCTTCGAGCACTAGTCCTGTCATGTGCTCCTCTGCTCATTCTTCTTTCCTGAGATTTCAGTTTACGCTTAGTCTTGAATTACTGTCTGTACCACAGACTACTGCAAACCAGAGTGGAAAGTGTCCTGTCCTATAGTTGTCTTGCATAATTGCACAGACTAATAAGCAGCTTTAGATTGTCAGATGCTCACTACTCGTGTTTCATGCAATCTGAGCATATGTGCCCCACCTTGCTATGCAGACTGTTGTATATTCATTGGTCAACAACTGTTACATTTTTACACAACCAGGGCTCGATATTAACGCTTGTCTGGGACAAGTGGATTTTTTTGAAGGGACAAGTAAAAGAGCATTTCACTTGCCCGACCGGACAAGTAGCCTGATTAGAACCCAATAAAAAATAAATAATAATAACAAAATAAATAATAATAATAATAATTTAAAAAAACTAGGGAATCACTAAAATGAGATAATGATTATGATTTTATTACATTTACTGTAAGTTGTGATCGATAGTGGATAATAAATGTTTTACTGACGCTGTTGAGGCTCGTGCAGCCTCTCGAGGAGAAATAGAAACAAATGAGCGCAGCACACACAAAGAAACTCAGTTAACAACATACTGCCGATAAAAATAACGTTTTTATTTTTTTAACATATGATACAGTTAAGCAACCTCAGTTAAGATGATCCCCTTTAAAGGTGCAGATATTACAATATGCAGATTTAAATATATCAAAGCTGATTGAAATTAGAATTCTTTGAGAATTAGAGAATATTGAGAATAAATTATATTTACAAAACACACACACACACACACAAAAATTTTTTTGGACAAGCAACTTTTTTACTTCGGACAAGTAAATGACAGATTTACTTGTCCGAAAGACAAGCACATGAAAAGGCTTAATGTCGAGCCCTGACATCCATAATGTGAGGGTGACACAACAGGCACATGTAAATGTGATTGCTGTGTTTCTGTCTCTCTCTTTCTTCTGCACCAGTCTTCCTCCTCCTCTCAGGAGCTCCTGCACCAGCTGCCCTCTCAGCCCACCCCAGATGACCTCCATCGCCTCTTCAAGCATTTCAGGAGTTCAGAGAGTGTGACAGATGAGGATGGACAGCCCTCTATCTTCCGTGCTCGCTCACGAAGTCTTAGGTCTCTGCTTGTAGAAAAAAAAACAGGATCGAGAGAGAAATTCAATATATAAATGAAATGCAACATTTTCATAGAGAGAAAGCAATTCCGTTAGCTGGTGACTTATGTTTGCTTGCATAGAAAATGTGAAATCCCATTTGTAACTTCTGAAAGCAAATAAATAAGAATAAAGTATTAGTTTGGCTTGAATGTGCTAGAGCAGGGAAAAAGTTAGCCAACACCATATTTTAATGAGCTAATCCTTAAAAATCTGCTTAGTGCAACAATCTATACAGATTTGATCTTTTATACAATTAGAATGATTTATTACTCTGACAACATTGTCCTAAACTGTAAGAAATTATGACCCAACTAAATCTCACCTTCATGTACTTCCAAACCTATATAATTTACTTTATTTTGTGGAACACAATTTTAAGGGAAATTTTGGAAGACATTTTTCATGTTCATTTCCATGTAAAATTCAAGTTTAAAAAAAGGATGCAAAAGCACCATAAAGGTGTTATAAATTGTATCTTTTGCTCACACAAAGTTAGCATAAGGTCCTCGGAGACTTCAAATATACTGTACTGCAGTGTTATTTTAGTATTATTTTTTATACTATTATAGTATTAATTAATATTTTGAATTAGCTTTCATTTTTATATTTTCTGTTTTCATATCAATTTGAGTTTGAGTTTTCCATTATATTTAGCCTTATTTTAGTCAGTTATTTTCATTTAAGTTTTTTAAGCTTTATATTTTATTGATATTTTATTTCAGTTTTATTTCCAATTGCTGAAAATGATTTTTAATAGTTTTAGTTATCAATAACAACACTAGTATGCAAGTCATACAGGGAACATTTATGATTCTTTTATGATGCTCTTGTATACGTTTTCAAGCTGAAAAACTTGTTCCGCATTCAGTGTAATTTCACAGAAAATTTTTTGGAAGGAAATGGGGAATAAATAATGATAGAATTTTCATTGTGAAGTAAACTATTGCTTTAATGTTATTTGTTTGTGCAAAATATTTTGTAGTCCTGGGCGGACATGTGGCTCCTTTGATAACGAGATTGTGATGATGAATCACGTCTACAAAGAACGGTTTCCAAAGGTAACTGAGCTCTGACATTTAAATTTTGTTTTTCATCATAGACGTGGACGCCACGTCATGTCACATGTTGTTTACTTTGTTTAAATTGTGGCTGTGGGAAAATTGACGGCCTGGTTTGTCTAAACAAAACAAATGACAATTGTCACCTACAATTTTATCACTATTCCAGGCCACGGCTCAGATGGAGGGGCGTTTGCTGTCAGTGATTGCAGACTATTCCCCAGACAGCGCTCCCCCTCTTGCTGATGGAGTGCTGGGCTTCATTCAACACCAGCTGGTCGAGCTCGTCCGAGACTGTCTGGAGAAGTCCAGAAAGGGGCTTATCACATCCGGCTACTTTGTGGAACTTCAGGAAAAATTAGAAAATTTTCTACATGAGGTAGACAAAATGCCACATTTGTTGTTATGTTGATATTTGCATCTGAAAATAAAAGTCGTTTGCATAGATCCATATTTTACAATGTCACAAAAGACCAGAATTTCAGTACTCCATATTAGGATCAATACTAGTACAATTTTTAAACAATTTTTTTGAATACTTTACGCTAAGTATTAATGTAAATAATTATATTAATAGTAATTATATTAAAACAATGCAGTACGCTACCGGTCATATCTTTGGAGTTGGTAAGATTAGTTTTATGGAAAATTAATATTTTTATTCCGCAAGGACACATTACATTGATTGAAACTGACAGTAAAGACATTTAATGTTACAGAAGATTTCTATTTCAAATAAATGCTGGGGGGGGGGGGAGGAATCACAGAAGAAAAATATACAAAGAGAGTATGCAAAAGTAATTATTTTCAATAAAACTGCTAAAATTATTGACAGTACTGAAATATATTACATACACAGTGATTTGATGGTGGTAAAGTTCATGGCAGCATCAAAGAATTTTTTAAGGTTGATTGTTACAGCTACTGAAGTTGTCAATCCAAAAGCAATGCAAGTGTTTTTTCTTTAGTCAGTGTTGTTGTTTAATCAATATTAGCTACATAATACATGCATGAGTATTAGGGTGCTTTTAAACTGCAGGGCCTAATGCATAGATTTTGAGACTATTCAAATATATATATTTTTATTTGCCCTGCCTGTTTACAATGCACTTAGCCCAAACTGACAGTGCTTATGTTAACCAAGACTGGCCTTTTGACCATGGAAGTGCTTTTCACACGCTCCCTTCACAGAGTGCGCACATATCATGCATGCGTTCAAAAGCAGCTTCCTTTCTTTACTCCATATGACTTGTTTTTAGTATCGACACACATTTGACATCCTTAGTTTGCACTAACGTGACCATTCTGTAGTTCATACTGAGAGGTTTAATGCTCTCTTTTTAACCGTCAGCTGAATCAGTTAAACTGCTGCAGCCCATCTCATTTATAAGAGCGGTATTATTACTAAATGATTACTGACCGAGAGCCTCATGGCCTTAGACATAAGACCCCTGAAGTCCTGAGTTATTCTTTTAATAAGCACTGTTCCTGTCATGTTCCTTCTGAAAATGACATTTAGTGAACTGCTGTACCGAAGCACTGTGGTCTTTTCCTTTGTGGAGATGAAACTGTGTTGCATCTACAGGCACATGTATGCGTGTGTTTGTTTTAAAATAAACTTGCTGCTTTCATTCCTCATACCAAGCTGCTGTTGTCATGTGCAGTTTTTCTGGAAAGACGTGAAAAGAGCAGCAGTATTGCAAGGCACAGTAGTCATCTGCAGTGTCTGTGTGCTCAAGCAGTAATGTCGACACTGTGGAGGGAAGGATGGTTAATTAGGGCAAGTGAGAGACTGTTTTGTCTCCCCGAGGAGCTTTTGCTTCATGCTTCTGAAGTCATGAAAAGCAAATGAAGGAAAGAGGCTGATCAAATTAAGCAAGGGGAAACAGGTCGCAGTGGAATTTCCAAGTTGCTGGCTTATGGTTGATTTTGGTTTAAATATTTTAAATGAATGAAACGTTCTATGGAAAAGAGCTGTGTGAAAATTCTTATTTTTATTTTGGGTTCCACAGAAAAAATATGGTGTCATACGGGTTTGGAATGACATGAGGGTAAATTAAGAATGACAAAAAATGTCATTTTTGGGTGAACTAACCCTTTAAATGACTTGTGTGAAATGTCATTAAGAGCTTAAGGGGTTTTTATGGTCTTTTTCCATTATTACTTCTCTCTGTCCTCTTACAGTGAATTAGGTGGCTTATTTCTGTAACTTTTACAATTTAGAGAATTTGCTTTATGTTAATGTCTACCAAATGTTATGCAAAAAATGTAGGTTGTTTCGTTTTGCACTCGTAAAGTTAATTTGCATTGGCCCTGTATGTGTTTTTTTTTTACCCATAGGCATATGATCGGTCTGAGAGTGAGGAAGTGACTGTTATTGCCAAACTCGTGAAGAAGATTCTCATCATTATTTCCAGGCCAGCAAGACTTCTGGAATGTCTGGTAAAATTATGATTAACACTGTGATTTTCTTTTTTATTTTGGGACTGATAGACCCCAAATTATACCAATTTTAATTCATGGTTTTGAACTGCCCACTACAGTGACTCACTTTATTTTTAGTGTAAAAAAAAAAAAAAAAGCATTTAAATTATGTTAAAATCCCAATGTTATTAAATAAATGGTAATTTTGCCTCTTTATGTTTTTTCTTTAATAATAATACAAATCGCTCACATCATTGGGGTCTCTAGGAGCATAATCTCAGCAGATTGAGTTTTTTCCCATCAGAGTTCCAGATCATGTTCAAAACCGCCTGTGCCCTAGTAATCTACCGTTTCTAATTAATTACTGTGTGAAATTTGGACTCATTTTGATGCCATTTATATAATGCTTACTCACCATTTTTCTATTAACCAACAGGAGTTTGATCCTGAGGAGTTTTATCAACGTCTTGAAGTTGCCGAAGGCCATGCAAAAGTTGACCAGGGGATCAAGACTGACATCCCCCGATACATCATCAGCCAACTGGGTCTCACACGAGACCCCCTGGAGGGTATAATTATGATTTATCTAGCACCCCACCCTTAAATTATATGTTTTTGTCTATGTTGTAAAATGTAATTAAATATTAGCTTTAGGCAAACAAGTGATTGATGTATTTGAAGAGTTTGGTTCCAAAACGCAATAAATCCATTTAGATTAATTTGAGTAAAAATGTGTTTTCTTTACCAAGAAAGTGGAAAGATGAAAACCACTATTTTCTGTTTCAAACGTTCACATAGCATTTGTAGGTCATAAAAAAAAATAAAAAAAAAAATCCAGGTTTTGATTTTCAAAGATTTATTATAAAAACGGATTATTTTTTTCCCCAAAATGCAATAAATCCATTAAAAAAAAAAATCAAAATGCAATTAATCCATTGAATCAATATAAAAGTTGTTTTTTTTCATATTGAAACTGTTGAAAATACACAACAACGTAAGTTTATTAGTATAATATTTTTTATTAAGAACTGTAAAGAAGATTGAAAACATGTTTCCTCCTCCCGAGTGCCTCATCTTCTTAATCTCCTCACGTAAATGATTCGATTTCGATGCCTTGCGTTTCTCACCCACCGCAGAAACAACCACAGGTTCATCAATGCCTCAAAATTATTCATTTTTTTGTTTGTTTGTTGATCGAAAAGTACAAAATCGATAAGGAAACTAGGAAGCCGGGTGTATTTAAGGCGCTGCCGTTACTGTTTACATTGCGTGGAATGGTGCGTTGTGATTGGTTGAGAGCGGATATATCACATTCTGCAGAGAAGGGAGACTGGTGTTTGTCGCGGTTTGGAAAGAAAGGGAGAAAACATGACAGAATAACACGGCGGATATCGCATTTTACTTAAAATTAAACATTGACTTTTCAATACCAACCAGATACAATACTGATTTTTGCAGTAACTAATTTTTTTTCAAAATGGCGTTTATCGCATTTTGGAACCAAACTCTTCATTTGTTTCTTCTTCTTGTCTTTGGGTTCAGAAATGGTGCAGCTTGAGCATAATAACTCAGGCGGCCCAAGCAGAGAACTGGATGACACTGCAGAGGTAAGAAAATAAACCAATAGGTTTGACATAAAATCTTAAAGTCGCTCACTGTTTCTCTACACTACTGGAGGTCTCATACCTTCCTTTCCAAGAGGTCTAGTCTCTAAATTTCATTCCTAACCATGATCCAAGCAATCATACCTATAAGTGAAACTTATGTACAGTTGTGAAATGAAATAACCAATGTACATTGCAGAACTATTGGTACAAATTCATGTAGTAATGACTATTTTTGGATAAACCTTTGATTTAAATGAGTACTTCAGGCCATTTGATTTTCTCTCATACCCCTTTTCCACCAAAAACGAACTGGTTCGGAACTGGTGCTGGTTCAAAGTTGGATCGGAGTTGGTTCAACTTGCGAACCTTCTCTGAACCTGTTTGTTTTTCCACTGACTAGAGCGCCCAGCGAACAACGTCGTTACGTCACTGTGTACGTCGCCATACATCTTAGCTAGAAACGCTTGCAAGTACAACATTACTTTGGGATTATCTCTAACTCGTGAACCAAGAAGGCTTTAAAAACAATTGAAATATGTAAGTCTTTTAATCTTTTCCTTTGATATGTAATATTTTCTGATTAGTTATGTACTCCTGTCTTGTCTATTTTTTTCTTTCCATTTATTTGTTCTATATTGTGACTGTTTTCTCCTTTGCTTACATAACGTTTTCAATAAAAAAAAAAACTAAAAAAAAAACTAGAAACGCTTGCGCCAACTTCAAGCATAACAATTACAATGGCGGACTACATCGTGTTTGTGCAAATGTTTCTCCTGGCTTTGCGATCCTATATTATGTCAGAAAATATGTTATCTAAACCCGCCCCCAGCTCCCGAGGTAAGCATGACGTGGTAAAAGAACGGTTCTAGTCCAGCAAAGAGTTGGTGCCGCTTTGGAACCAGTTTTCCTGGCCGAGAACCGGTTCTTTGGCTGTCGAAACACAAAGAACTGGTTCGCGCGCAGGCACCGGCTCCGAACCGGCTCTCAAAATGCGTTGGTGGAAAAGGGGCATCAGTTGCACTTTTTTTTTTTGCTAACATGGCATCAAATGAATAAGTCTGTGCTACCATTCAAAAGTTTGGGGTTATTTTACTTATGTTTACCAAGACTGCATTTATTTGATGCAAGGGGGGGTGGACCCAGCAGTTTAAGATACTGTCAACTTTAAGAAACAGAGAAACAATTAGTGGATCTAGACCATCGCCTGCTAACTTGTGACTTATGACTTTCAATCAAATAGATGTTGTATTGTTCTGTTCTTCAGAGGTTTCTTTGTTTTGTGCCCCAGAATCGTCTTGGAACCACAACACCTCGAAGAAAACCTCTGGAAAGAGATTTTGAGACCATAAAGCTCATCAGCAATGGGGCTTATGGGTGAGCTCACATTTATTGCTATTTTCTTTAAATAAGGAATGGTCTGTTTTATAGTCACAAGAATTAAGACCACCAGTTGACTAAAGGCTGGAATACACTACACAACCTAGATTGGTTTACCTAGATTTTCGCCCAGATTTGCAGTCTGGACGAGTGAAAACTAGTTGCCAAAAGTCAGAACAGGTCTGCAGATTTCGGGCAGTCGGAGCTGACAGATTTGGCAGATAATCGTGTAGCTTATGATGGGCAAAGACACTCGTAGATTTTTTTTTTTTTTTTTAGCTTCAGACAATGAGTCCATCAAGTTGGAGGAGATTTATGGAAAATTATTATTATTAATATTTTGGAGCTGATTTTAGATCACATTTTTTCCTTTTGTCATGGTCTCCTAGTAAACGTTAACAGTGTGTTGTGTTCAGAATGGCTTGGAAGTCTAATAGTGTGTGATCTTCAGTCATTTAGTTTATGATGCCAAGTTTTTCTCTACAACCATTTACAAAGTCAACAAGTGACTGATTTTAAAGTGCCCCTATTTTACTATCTTTAAGGCTCCTGATTTTGTTTTCGAGGTCTCCTACAACAGGTTAACATGCATCAAAGGTCAAAAAACACTTTGTTTCTTATAATATACATTGCACATCACCACATTTTTCAATGATTCTCAAATGACTCGTTGGATGAATCAGTCTCTCTAAATCCTACCTTTCCGCGAGCCTACTGTGCTCTTATTGGCCAGACGGCCCAGTCTGTTGTGAACAATCAGAATATTATCCAGTTCCATCTGGTTGATCCGTGACCTACAGATAAGCGTCTTTGCGGCAGGGATTTAATCTTTAAAAATGTCTGGGATAAGAAAATCTAAAGTGCACACCTTCATAAAGGATATTCTCAAAGGCTGGATTTAGCATCAGGAAAAACATGTTCACACTTCTGCTGGCCACCGTTAACAAGTTGGTTTTCTTCTGGACATTCTAAAACGCTTAACGTGAAAACCGCTTTTAAAACGCCTATGGGGCACTTTAACGTGGCTTAATGTATATTAAGACAGTGATGTTAAAAGACCAAACTCAGTAAACACCATACTAAGCATACTAAGCTATGTACAGAAAAGTAGATGAGTGCAGAATATGAATGCGTTTTCTTTAGAATAATGGTTTTCTATGGGAGGAAAATGCTTAACATGTAATTAAACGCATTGCATTCATATTCTGGGCTTATCTGCTTTTCTGTAGATGGTATGCTTTATTATTAAGGTGTGTACAGAATTTGATCTTTTAATATGTCTTAGGATATCAAGCTGTTAAGCGTTTTTCGCATACAATTTGAAAAGACTCAAACGGACACAGACAGAGTGAAAGACTAGATTTTTTTCGTTTCGATCAGGTAGGGTATAAGTGATTTCAAAACATTTCAGCTGGTTCTAATTTGATTTTTGGATGCTGTGAACATGTTTAGCTAAAAAGACTGCCACTCCAGTTTAGCGTTTATTGTTGTCTCTGCAGTTAAAAAGACAAAGTTGACAATTCTGGCTATACTTTCATTATTTTAATGATTTCTTTGTTTTATTCATTGATCACTCAGGGTTATCTAATTTAACTATTTGGCTTGTATTTTGAATGTATGTTCCCCTGCACTTTGCACACATTTGTTCTGCAACATGATTCTGACTTATTTCGTTTTGTATTTTTATTTATTAGAAAGGTATATTCTGTTCTAATTTAATTCTGTAAATTAATTGTTGATTATTTTTCGGTACATCGATGTTGCGCTGTATTTCGAGTGTGCTCGCACAATCAATTTAGCCGATCTAATTTGATTTGCAGACAATCGAAATGCAAATCCTGTCTGCAGTGTGGCCTTTCTGCAGTTATTTGTTATTTCTTCGTTTTATTGATTAATAAAACATGCTTTTATACATTTTCTTCTGTATCTTTATGTAATGTTCTGTACATCGTGGCTTTAAAATGTTAAATTATTCATGGTCTGCATAGCGTTTACATTTACATTTTTCTTACCAAACCTGAAGGCTTTGGGATACTTTCACAACCTGATTGGTTGGCTTTTATAATGTATTGCCTATTTTGAGAAGGAACTGCAAATGATGGTATTTTGAGAACCAGCTGAGAACTCGTGAAGAGCTTATTAAATGTGTAAAAGAGTCAAAACAGTGGTAGGAATCCCTCCGTCACACAATATATCTGCTGCAAGGAGACGCAGTTCTGATGCCTGTACCAAACTGTGATGGCAACACAGTTCGGTATCAGAGTCTCATCTTCCTGTTTTTGGTTTGTTTACATATCTTTGGTCCGTGTTGCGTTTATATCATTCGAACTGCACCAGAGTTCATTTGGAAGCGAACCGAGACCCATCTTTTCGGAGGTCTCGGTCCTCTTGTTTGGTGCGCACCAGGGTTCGGATGGCAGCGTTTACAAATGAACCTCACTAACAGAGCACTCACACCAGGGCTTGTTTAATCGAACCAAACATGTCAAGTTTGAACACACCCTAAATGTTGTGTAGTGTGTTCCAGCCTTAAGAATATCTGTCAGATCTGTGAACCTGATTTGAGCTTTGACTCGCAGGGCTGTGTACCTGGTAAGGCACCGTGGGACACGGCAGAGGTTTGCCATGAAGAAGATCAACCGGCAGAACTTGATCCTGAGGAACCAGATCCAGCAGGTGTTTGTGGAGCGGGACATTCTGACGTTTGCAGAGAATCCTTTTGTGGTCAGCATGTTCTGCTCTTTTGAGACAAGACGGCACCTCTGCATGGTCATGGAGTATGTGGAGGGTGAGTCAGAAGAGTGATGCATTGTTTTTCTTGGTCTAATCTTATGACACACATATGCATCATTTCTTATGTGTACTATCTGATTCTGCAGCTGTAATGTTTTAATATGAAATTCTCTTTGCAGGTGGAGACTGTGCAAATTTGCTGAAGAATATGGGTCCCTTGCCGGTGGACATGACCAGAATGTACTTTGCAGAGACAGTTCTGGCACTAGAGTATCTTCATAATTATGGTATCGTGCACAGGGATCTCAAACCTGACAAGTAAGAGCTGATCTGAATCTGATGCAATCCTGCAGTTACGCATGACTCCATGTCCTGAGAATATTGCATTCACAGTGTTTGTTTCCTGTCTTCAGCCTACTCATTACATCAATGGGGCACATTAAACTGACTGACTTTGGTTTGTCTAAAATCGGTTTAATGAATATGACCACAAACCTGTATGAGGAGCACATGGAGAAAGACACAAGAGAGTTCATTGATAAACAGGTCAGTCTACCTATACATGCAGTTTTTCTAGTTTTAAGTGTTCACATTAAAAGACTAGTTTTGTCTTCATTTGTTTGAGTAATTTTCTACCCCATATTTCTTTTTATTTCTTCCATAAAACAAAACTTCCATTCAGCAAAATGTCCAAGCAACTATTTTATTTTACTTAAATTGACTGCCAAGTCGATAAAGGGGAAAAACAGATGGAAAAAAGGGGAAAATTACTTTAAAAAGAGGGAATAATGGCATTTTAAATAATACATTTTATTTGGGCCCAAGCACCGATGGTGTGAGGACCCTATTGGAATTGTTCTGTTTATTATTTCATTTTATTTTGTTTTATTTATTTTATATATATTTGTTTTTACTGCCAAGTTCCAGAAAGGACAAAACAGCATTATAAAATGAGATTTGAGTTAAGGGGAATGGAAGATTTTGAACAAGTTATGTCTTAGATTAGTTACTGATTTTATTTTATTTTTCATTTTATTACTGCCATGTTCCATAAAGGACAAAACAGCAATATACATTTCTGTTTTTAAATTTCATATGATAGCTTTGTGTTGGAAACAGAATTTGTGAAATTTAAGTCATTATTCACTAATTTTGTAATCTTTCCTATTGCTGGATTTCTCTAATTTAATTTGTAGCCAAGTATATTCAAAATTGCAATGTTCTGATCGATGTAAACCTCTCATGTCAAGGTTAAATATAAAATGAGATTTTCAAGTTGTGTGATGAAGACGACAATTTTGTGTTAAATTGAGTAAGGGAATTCTAAACTTAAATTAGTGATGTTTTTTCACACCAACTATTCAATGGCTTCAGAAGACTTGACACTTTTGACTTTTATGGGGTTTTTTTTAATTATTGTTATGGTACCAGTAAAAATTACCATTCCCTTAAAGGGATGATAGAGGATTGCTTAGACATTCTCCTTTTCCAATCTCATTTTGTGTTCCATGGCAGATAGAAATGATGACAACATTTTCTTGTTTTCCTGTTGTTTTCTAGGTCTGTGGCACTCCAGAGTACATTGCACCAGAGGTGATCCTGAGGCAAGGTTATGGGAAACCTGTGGATTGGTGGGCCATGGGCATTATCCTGTATGAGTTCCTGGTGGGTTGTGTGCCATTCTTTGGAGACACACCAGAAGAGCTCTTTGGCCAGGTGGTCAGTGGTAAGGATCGATCCCTAACCCTGCGTATTAAATAATGATTAATATGATTTCTGCCTGGTGGATGATTAAACGAGTGGGGAAAAGCTCCCATTTCCCTACATTGCAGAAGGGACCTGAGTCTAATCTAGGGATCAGAATATCATAAAAACTTGGGGGTGTGTGGGCACTTTTGACTTGGGCCAGTACGTAATGTCCTTTTTTTCATGTTGTGTGTGTGTCCGTATCTCTGTCACTACATAGATGAAATCGAGTGGCCAGAGGGTGATGATTCGTTACCTGTGGAGTCTCAAGACCTAATCACAAAACTGTTGAGACAAAGTCCCTTGGAGCGCTTGGGAACAGGTTGGTGTTTTGCCCTGATAAATGCCTGTTTATCAGTGTTATTTTAATATTATTTATATATTATTATAGTATTTATTTATAATTTACATTTTCTTTTCTTTTATATTTTCTGTTTATATTTTAATTCTATTTTAATTTTGTTTTTTTGTTGTGTGCTTTTGTAATTTTTAATAGTTTTAAAAATAGTTTTTAAACAAAACACTTCTATTTAGCTTTTTTTAAATATATTTTACTTAAACAACACTGCTGTTTATAAACTTAAAAAGCTGCCATAATGTAGCCAACATTGAATCATGTGTGGTATGACCTACAGGAGGGGCAGCAGAGGTCAAACATCACGTCTTCTTCCATGGTCTGGACTGGAGTGGACTGCTAAGGCAAAAAGCTGAGTTCATTCCACAGCTTGAAACTGAAGACGACACAAGCTACTTCGACAGTAGGTGGCTCCCTTGCTCTTTTAAGACATCTGCTGAATCATAAATATAATGTAGATGCAACTTAAGTTTCTATTTATCTGCTGTCCAGCACGCTCTGACCGTTACCAACACTCTGAGGAGGACGATGAGACAAACGACGATGAATCTTATCAGGATATCAAGTTCTCTTCCTGCTCGCATCGCTTCAGCAAGGTGAAATAGCTGAATGTGCACAATATTGTCTTTTAGTGATGCCTGTCAGTCAGTTATATTATGTTCTAATGGCAGACTGAGACATTTAACACATTAAGGAGTAGATTATGACTTGTTTTTGTGAACTAGGTGTACAGTAGCTCTGAGCAGCTGGCTTCTCCCTCTAACTTGAGCCTGTCCTCCTCTGAGCGGAGCTGCAGTGAGGAGAAGGAGGACCGATGGGATGGTCATTCATTGCTGTCTCCAGTAGAAACCCCCAGACAGCTTTTAAGTAGCGACAGGAAGCAGGATGCCCACAGGTGGAGGTGAGCACAAGGCTGTTTATGGAATAGGTTACTGTCACACAACATACTATTTCTCCAGTATATATTTTTTGTATGTTGCAGACATATTGGTAGGGTTGGGTATCGTTTCAATTTTAGCGATTTCGATTCTTATCGATTCTTGTTTCAAATTCCAATATTTTTTGGAGAGAAAAAAAAAAGGGCAAATACTTGAAGAATAATTATTTCTACCTTTTATTCTTGCCAATTTTAAGGATTAACCAATGAAATGGCTAAAGTGAAAGGAGTCTCTTCAAATAAAGATTGTGTTGATTACATTATTTCTTCAGTAGGTGGAAAAAATCGACTGTGAATTGTTTTTTTTCATTTAATCATTTATTTAAGAAGACTCAAGAAATTTATTCAAAAATGTTAAATCATCCATTAATTAAACAGGTATTTATGAATGATTCCCCTTTGGGGCCATTCATATAGCGCGTCTAATAACGCGTGGAAAACGCGGCTGCGCAGTTTTCTCCTTTCCACAAGCGCTTGTGCTCCTGTGGTGCATTGCTATGCAACCATGAACTGCGCTCTCCATGATGACGAGGAAGTATCAGCAAAGAATAATTGATTCCTAGCCCTTGCATTAGCTTTACTATATTTATGGAGATGAGAAATAAAAACCCGCCCTGTACAGCTATGATCAGCTGTTCGGCCGAGCTTTCGATGTTGTTACAGAAAGGTCGGTTGGTTTTTGTCACATGACCTGCGGTGCGCTTGCGGCAAACTGAAAAGTTAAGATGTTTTCATGGTGATGGTGATGATCATTTATTATACTACTATCTGAAATGTGATCTGCATTTTTTTTACAAGCAATAAAAATGTGCCCAAAGGGAATCACTCATTAGTGAATCACTCATGATTATAAAATAAATACTTGAAAATATGTATAATGCTGTTTAGTTGCTTAAAGTTTTTAATATCTCTTCTCAATCAGTCCAAGTCCGAGGCCGAGAGCATCATCCAGTTCATCTCAGCCTGATAGGGGCAGTAGTCCTCTTATTTTAAACAGCACTCAGAGCCTGGAGGCCATGCCACACTTCGCCTTTCCTGAGGATGAGGGTAACACATTTTTGAATGCATATTTTAATCTAACATAAGGTGAAATTAAAGGGCGGCTTGTGAAGTAGTCAGTCAAATTGCTCCATCTCAATTTTGAGTTTTCTTAAATTTTTGTTTCCTTTTAGAAGGTCTTGTCTCAAATCTCCAGCGAATTCGTCTACGCAGCAATTCCACTGGAACAAGACCTACTAATCGCAGGGACCACAAGGGTCCACGTCGCCTCGGGCTCCAGCAGGAGACCCCAGAGAAGCCACGATCACCATTTACATGCAAAGTCCCCAAGTCTGCCTCCGTGTCTGGCCTTTCCCTCATCGTCACAGCAGGTAAAGGGAGCTCAGATGTGTTCATGTAGATGATGTACCACCATGTGATATCATCACATTGAAGGCAACTGAAATTCATGTGACTAAAACAATAAACAAGTGAAGCAGGTGGTTTCAAGAGAACAATGAACAGTTGAGAAAAACAAAGATCTTATTGACAAAGATGAAAGTGAAACATTACTTGACATAAATAAACTGTGTTAGATATTTAGTACAATAATGTGGATATTGCAGATATTATGAGGCGTTTCATTTATATATGATCCTTTATTGGCATAGATGACATCCCTGGTGGGCTCCAGACAAGCCCTATGTCTTCACACTCCCTCTCATCCAACCCTTCATCTCGGGACTCTTCCCCCAACCGTGACCTCTCTCTCAGCGTAAGCAGTCTTCGTCCTCCTGTGGTCATCCACAGCTCTGGGAGGAAGTACGGCTTTGCGCTCCGTGCCATTCGGGTCTACATGGGCGACACAGATGTCTACACAGTGCACCACATAGTCTGGGTGGGTATAATGAATGTAGTGTGAATCATTCCATTTTATTCCATTAACAACTAGTGATGTGCCTAAATTTTGCTAACCAAAAATATTTGACTGCAAATTATTTTTTACATTTTGTCCGAAACAATTTGGGAGGGCGTTTAATCGGTGCTTCTCCAATGACGCGTTTTGCTGTATCAGTGTCTAGTCTGTGCACACAACGTGGATAACCTACAACATTTAAACATCAGCTGCATAGACAGTAGGTCTTTGTTAACAATATCAATTTGCCTTTTTTAATCTTCATTTTGTAGTGCCTACCATGCAGTAATTAGTTTAGTTTAGTTTATTTAAGAGTTTGACAAGGCAGGATATTAAAGGACAAAACCCTGAAATGTATCAAACAGAACACATACTCAAGACAACCGTATATACCTAATTAAAAAGTAAAAAAAAATAAAAAAAATAGAAGAAACAAACAGGAGGAGTAAAACAGATGCATACAAAAACCTGAAATACATCAGGCTTCATACAAGCAGAACCTGCAAGTTATTTATAAAACAGTTTAAGAGCACGTGGAATAAAAGAAAGTTCCTGTCTTTTTGATTTACTCCTGGGCACAAAAAGTTCTCTACGCTGCTGTAGTAGGTAAGTAGGTGTTGGAGCCACAGACAGGAAACAATGCAGTGGTGATGAACTGTCCTTGAGTAGTTTTGTAAAAGTACGTATAGTGGCCTCGTCACGCCGCTCACTCAGTGATGGGAGAGAAGAAGTTGGAACACCTATTATCCGACAGCAACGTTTTTGGACCCTTTCTAACTCATCAGAGAGACCTTTTGGTAGTCCACCCCATACTGGACTAGCGTACTCAAGTTTGTTAATATCAGTAAATGTAGTTTTGATGCTCTTTAATATGATATTTAATATCAGTTTCATAAGCAGAAAGATGTCTATAATACAGCTTGTAAAAAATGTCAGATAAGGCTACATTAAACTCTGTATAGCCATTCAATATTCATAAACTTGTTGGTTAGCTAGAAATAACAATAAAGAGTTAGAAATAATAGCATTTTGCTAAATATATGCACTATATTACTACATATTCCTTATATTTTTACTTGACCTGTTGAATTTTTATTATTTAATGTATGTTTGAATGAAATACAAATTACTCAGTAATTAATTGTAACAATCTGCTGAAAATAAGGATGTGCCATTGTCCACAATTTATGCATGCTTCATTGAGTTATGAGGGAAAACGCGACATCAGTGCTCCATCTATATACAAGGCTTTATGTGCCCCTTTGGGGGTTTGTGTGTTACAACTCCATTAGGAATATCTTTAGATCTGAGGGATGGTATGAATAAATCTGTCATGAAAACAAATATTTTTTTCAGCCACAGTTTAAATGTTTATATTTCAGCAAATTAATACTGTATCATTAAAAGTTGATATAATAACTACCTTATGTGCTGTTAAAATTTGTATATTCTACTCAGTTTATTCAATTTGATTAATTGATTGATTATTATTAAGTAAACTTTGTTTTCAGATAATGCCGAGTTCACACTGAACAATTTTAGGCCCGATTTTCGCTCGCCGACAGGTTTTGTGAGATCGCCGATAAATGCCCGAAATCATAGGCAAATCGGTGCTCGTTCACGTGACTGACAATCACTGAATTATCAAAGACGCGATCTGAGAGAATTGCTGATGAGTCGCTGACGCCTGTAAGAGAATTGGCATGCTAAATATCTGGACCTGTCTGCGATTCAAAATCCTGCTGTGTGAATGTGTTCTGACTGAAAACTACATAGGCGATGACCTACAGCCAATGAGAGAGCAAGAAAAAGGACAACTGGATGTTCGGGGAGGAGTTATAGACCAGAATATCAGTATATTAATAGATATATTTACAATTATATCAAACAAACAAAGCACAAACATTTGCTTGACCAGCAGCACATTGCAAAATTATTTATTTACCTCCAACTCTCTTTGCAGAACACACAATCCTTGCTCCCCGCATCTCCCCAACCATTTCCTCCTGCAAAATCTTGTTTTTCTTTTCTCCTTTTCACTGCAAATCAGCGCACATACAATTTGGATCGCAATCTTCTTGCAGGCTATCATTTTTAATAACATTTTCAGTCTCGCACAAGTACTCCGGTCTCACGCATGTGTGATCTTGCGTTATTTCCTTATCACTTCTCGAGTGTGTTTGGTTGTGAAATGCAGGCCTAGTTTGTGGACCAAACAGAAGTTGTCGGCAATTCTTTCTTTTGTAAAGTCATGCAGTGTTAAACCTCCTGTTGCCGATCCATCGTGCAGTGTGAACACAGCAGCAACTGAATGTTACCCCAGATAGTCGTGCAGTGTGAAAAGAACAGTGAAAATTAATTTTCTAATCGGCATAAGTGAAAACTAATTTTGGTTTCGGTAAAAAAATAATTTCGGTGCATCACTGTGGTTAGACATATTGAGAACCCAGTGTATAAAGATTTTATTGGTTTGACCCATTTAAATGTGCTTAATGTGTTACCTTTTTATCTAGAGCGTTGAAGACGGCAGCCCTGCTCACGAGGCCGGACTGAGGGCTGGTGACCTCATCACTCATGTGAATGGAGAGTGTATCCAGGGTCTAGTGCACACGGAAGTGGTGGAGCTTCTGCTGAAGGTGAGACTCTCAAATAGATCTGGAATTAAAGGCGACCCATTCGCTTTTAAAAAAAGGATGGGAGTAGATACTTGATTTCTTGATTTTCTGCTTGTAGAGTGGCAGTAAAGTGACTCTGCAGACGACTCCTCTTGAGAATACATCCATTAAAACCGGGCCCGCGAGAAAGACCAGTTCAAAGGGGAAAATGGCACGACGCAGTAAAAAGAGCAAAAGGAAAGATTGTCAAGACAGGTTGGAAAGATGTTTTATAGCATCTTCTGGAACATTTTAACCCTGTTACATCAAATGTAAGCCCACCTTTTATATCATAACTTTTCCAGCAAACGGCGTAACCCTTTGAAGAAGCTGCCCAAACACAGTCCAGGGATTCAGAACAGTCGCAGTTTCTCAGCGGGGTTTCAACACTCTCCTAACGACAGCCTGTCTGACTCTCCAACTCCAAGCCTGTCTCCTGGGCCCAACACCCCATGCAGAAGCCCAGCTCCGGACCTGTCATGTGGTATGACTCAGCCTGCCTCTCTCTGTCAGATCCAGCCTTTATATGCTACGGCTTGTAATTAGTTACGCCTCAAAGAAAAACGCCTCATTCAAGGAATCAAATTCTTGATAAAATTAGTTTGGCTGATTTAAAAAAAAAAAAAAAAAAAAAAATATCATAAGAAAATAATATTTTAACAAACTGCCTCACTGCTCATTAATATTTGAAAAACTTTTGTTTATAGTGCAGGCTATATATAAAATTTCTAAGATTTTTCCACTGTGTGATTAGTTTATTGGTGGAGCATTAGAGCACCAAAATAAATTGTCCTGACTTTATCACTGATATTTTTCAAGTAGTGTGTGATTGATTGGCATTGCTTGTACTCTCCACAGATTCAAACTCTCCACAGAGTTCCTCACCCTGCTCAAGCTCTCCAAATTCACCCATCCCTCAAAGTCGACCAAGTTCCCTTCACGTTTTGGGATCCAAGATTGGCCTTCGCTATAGCAAAGCAGGCCGCTGCAAGTCCAGCAACAGTATTCCCCCCTCTCCCCTTGCCTGCAATCCCTCCTCTCAGCCTCTGTCTCCGCAGTGTTCTCCATCTTCCCTCGCTGGAGTTCCCAAAAGCCTCCACTCATTTCATACTAAGATGATGTCCCCACCGACCATCGTGAGACAGACGGTGTGTCCCCGCAGTGCAGAATCGCCCCGTTCACCACTGCTGAAAAGGGTTCAGTCATCTGAGAGGCTCTCCGGTGCCCAACATGGAGACAAAAAGGCCTTCTCCATTCGAAGACACACTGTGGAGGTTTCTCAGTGTGAGGCTGAAGGGTTTGAGTCACAAGCTAGTGACATTGCCTCAGGTTTTGTGTGTGTTGGTGACCATGCTAGACAAGGGTTGTACCTGGCTGGTCAACGAGTGAGGGACTCCGGCGGTGTGGTTATGAGGAAGCTAAACTTATCTGAAAGACGAGATTCATTTAAAAAGCAGGAAGCCGTTCAAGAGGTCAGCTTTGATGACTCTGATGACAAGGATGTCGCAACATCTACACCAGTGCCATCTCATCCACGTTTCAAAGTGGCATGGATCAGCGCAACGCAGGCCGAGGGAAGCTCAGAGAATTCAGAGAGGAAGACCAATGAGCTTGGATCCAGGCTAAAAGAACAGAAGAAACAAGAGGATGGGTGTTAGCCTTAGATATGTCCAGAAAACTGTGAGACTCTGATGTGCAGGTGCTTCCATGATCATTTGAAACATACTCAGAGAAATGACAGGGGTTCAAAGTCTTTGTTTAGTATCATTTATTCATAAGTTAGAAGTCATTCACCTGCCAAACTGTTTTAATGGGATAGTTCACCCAAAATGGAGAATTCTGTTGTTCCTCATGTTGTTCCAAGCCTGTATGGTTTTCTTTCTTTTGTGGGACATAAAAGAAGATCTTTGGGAAATTGTCTCAATGTTGTTTTGGACCCTACTGACTTCCAAAAACTGTTGAAACTTTCTTAAAACAAAATATTTCTGTTCCAACGAAGAAAGTTATACAGGTTTGGGACGCCATGAGGGTGAGTAAATGATGAATTTTTATTTTTGAGTGGACTATCCCATAAAATTAGTTTTACCAGGTAACACAGTGAACTTTTGTAGATTTTGAAAATTTGTATTTTCTTTTATACGAGACGGGAATAGAAAGGTCATACAGTAGGATCGCTTTCTGAGAATTTGCACATATGTGGTCCTGCTGAGGTTCAATTACTTTTTTTTTTTTCATAAATATCAGTATCATATCATGTCTAATTGTAGTATATGTTGTTGACTTCCATTTAGTCAAACTCTGATGTACAAAAAATGATTCTTGTGTTCTGTCAGTCATACCCAATATTATCCAAGCACCTAAATAATGAATTTTAAGAAGCCATTTAGCCAATGTTGGCGTTGTAGTGTATCATGTTTACCTGAGTGTGCTTTTTCTCATTATTTGGAAAGAACAAATTGGCTTACGAATACTAATTTGGTAATAACTTTTTATTTATAATATTTTGGATCTGGTATGGTGTAGCAGTGTTGTACAACTGAAATCATTTTACCTATGTAACCTTTAACAAATGGTGGTTTTCTGTCTCTGTGTTTTGAAGTGTGACTTGTGGAAATGTCTTTTCTCTTGAATTCACACAACACCCATATATGGCTTTGTTTTTGTGACTACCCTATATAAATGCCATAGATTTAATCTGCCTGATGGCCTTCTGCAGTCTTGTCATCTGCTTGTTTGCTTGGAAAGAAATGGCAGAAATCATTGTTACCTCACTTGTAACATGAGCTTTTTGTGCAATGTTTTGGTTAAACTGGATTGCTTCCTGATTCATCGATCAGAACTATAGAGACAGAAGTTCAGATACTTGTGAATTATAACTTGCACTCCCAGTCTGACTTGTCTGTCTTTCTCTTCTTCTGTATCTCAGATTAATGTGCCACTATTTCCTCGAGTTCACACACTACCTTCATATTTTTTGTATGGTACTGTTCTTTTTTTAAGTAGAAGTTCTCTGTAATCTTTTTTTTGTTATTTACACAACCTGATTTAAAGGACTCAAAAAGATCCTAGACTCTCAAACTAAATCCATTCACCCACAACTGCATTTGTAAAGTTTGGATTTAACAGAGATTAAATGTGTACATAATTGCTGATAATCATTTCAGTGTCAGTGCTTTTCCTGTCGTGACTGTGAATAGTGTTAATGGCCTCTGGTATATCTATTGCCTCGAGGATTGATCAAAATACACTACTGTTTAAAAGTTTGGGGTCTGTAATTTTTTTTTCATGTTTTTGAAAGAAGTTCCTTATGCTCACCAAGCTGCATTTGGTCAAAAATAAAGCAAAAAGTTATATTGTGAAATATTACAGTTTAAGTCACTTTTAAAATATTTTCTAAACTATTTTCAGGATTCTTTGATGAAGAGTTAAAAATACAAATAAATTAGAAATTGATTTTTAGAAATTAGAAATTGATTTTACACAATTTAATGCATCCTTGCTAAATAAAATTATACCAAAACAAAATTACTGACCCTAAACTTTTGAATGTTTGAATACATTTTATACATTGCTTGCTGAGTTACATATCAGAATGTTTTAATGCTGCTTTTGAAATGTCTCAGTAGTACTCTCATAAACGATAACAAACTAGTGGCCATTTCGAAGAATGGCGTAATTTGAGATTAAAAATATATATACATATATATATCACTAGTAGGCTACATCTACATTTTTGTTATGAACGGTTTTTTTTTTTTACAGTACCTTGCCTAACCACAGCAGGATGGCGCAATAGGGAGCGCAAGAATGAGGAACGCTTCATGTGTTAAACGAGATTTACTCTTTCGTACGTTTTCGGCTTATTCCGCTATTTTCCGTCGAGCTTTCATTAGTTCTCACGCAGTCCTGCCCCGTTTTGTGCTGTGCTGGAAAATGGCAGTTCGGCAAGTTGAAAAGATCCGTGCGGAATGAAAAGAAAAATGATATCAATCCTGTAACTTACTCTGCTGGGGGAGTGGATGGAAGTTAAAAACGTAAGTCCAGCCGAGTGTTAAAGATCGCACATTTAATTCGCACGCGCGAAAGAAAACCGCCAAAGCCTTTGCAACGACTTGCCACGGGTAAGTTTTCACAAGTTTTGCACATTGCGTTACTGTAGTCTACTAAACTGAAAGGCTAGCTAGCAGTTTCCAAATGTGGGAAAATGGTGGAAAAGACACGAAGTGTGCTGCTTCAATATATCATATGTAGAGTGTCTGCTTCTAACGATAAGCCAACCTTTTATTTCTTTGCTAAATTTCGGGATAGCCGTTAGCTAAAATCTCGGATTTAGTGGGCGACAGAATGCAAACCGATATGCGTTAGGTTTGCAAGATGCACATGCATGTTCGCCTTGTCTGATCAAGGCAGCATAACGTTACACAGTTAACATTAACAGCCTGCAAGAGCTTCAGCGCGTGACAATGACTGAGCCTTCATAGTGCTCGAGCAGTTTCTGAAGTATTTATTCCACAAACTGAACTTTTAAAGCAAATTTAGACGGTTCTGAATTTGAAGAGTCCATTTTTTAGACACTGCTCGACGCCTACTTTCCACAACAGCAGTTAGTTCTAGCTTATGTTGTAGTGTTTTATTTTTTATTATTATTAGCACGGGGATTTATTTTTTTCACCGTTTGTCTCAGAGCGAGTTTCTCTCAGGATTGTGCGAAATCATGAAGTGAGATGAAAACACGGAGTGGAGCTGGAACCGGGAGGGTAAAGTTCCACTGGCGTCGCGTCAGACTTTACGATTCTGGCCACGATTTGGCCGTCTGAGACAAATCCTAAGATTCCTCTGCTTTTAAGCCGGGTGCACACTGTGCGATTTATAATAGTCCTTTACGATTGTTGCTTGTCAGACTGTGAACATGATCCTCACTGTAAGCCATGTCCAGTAACGTGCGGTGAAGTCTTGTCACGGGTAGGCTCCCAGCTAACACAAATACGTAACTGCAACGTAATCTGGTGACCAAACTTTCGTCGTGGCGACGTAATTAGTTACGTAGTGGCAACCGGAAAAGTGAAATTCCCACATACGTTGTTACAACGTAACTTTGCAACGTCGTGGATCAATAGTCGTGTCGTGTGTTGGTAACCAGTTGGTCATTTTAGTTTTAATTAATATGGGCGGACAAGCAGTGGTCTAATTTAACTTGTCCTCATTTGCCCAAAACTATTTTTTAAACTTTTCAACGACATACGAAAGATACAGACTCCGTATTTGGTTAATTCAGTTCATTTACTATAGAACAAAGCACAAACAACAGCAAAAACAGTGTACAAACAGGTTTATAAGCATTTAAATGAAGAAGGTTTTATATTAATATAATTAAAATACGGTTTTTCTATTTTAATATACTTAAAAATATAATTTAATCCTGTGATGCAAAGCTGAATTTTCAGAATCATTAATCCAGTCTTCAGTGTTACATGATATAATATTATACACAGGAATAAATTACACTACTATATTTTCACATAGAAAACAGCTGTTTTACATTATGATAATAATGTTTTTTTTTTTTTTGTCAAATAAATGCAAGCTTGATAAGCAGAATAGTAATGTTTCCAAACTTTTGACCAGTACTGTATATGATTTTATACAAAATAAATAGTAGTTAATAAGATTGACACTGTATTATATCTAGTATTATTGAAGCAAAACAGAGTCCCTATAACAGTGCAATTTGTAGATTTTAAGTCTTCGAGAAAATGTTTTATGAGTTGCAAACCTCTTTTTCTTTCCTTTATCTCTCACAAACACAACACATCAGTTACACCTTTTTAAATTCTTCATTGCAGGTGCACAAATCCTATTCTACAAATTACCAAACTCATAGGGTCATATTTTTGTTGATAAACAGTAACATTTTGGCCAATTCTGCACATTTCTTGGTGTATAATTTTGTGATCATCTATACTGTTTGGCTATTCTCATGTGGTCACACTTCACTTTTTATTCACAGTCACATATGCTCAAACCCCCTGTGTGGCCGCGCCTTAAATGTCAGCATACATTTCTTACTTTGTGATTTGAAAAAAATAAAAGTATTTGTGCACCTCCAATGAAGAATTTGAAAAGCTGTTACTGCAGTGTTTTTTGTGAAAGAGAAAAAAGTTTGAAACTTCTATAAAAAAATAAAAAAACTTTCTCTCTGTGACTTTAAATGTACTGATGTCTGACTACTTTACACCTACAGATTCCACTGTCACAGGTGCTCAGTTTTGCTATAATAAAACCTATACAGAACATAGTAGTAATCAGCCATCCATGCAAAAGCAGAGGTCGGTGTGGTGTTCAGGTACATCAGTCCAGGCCAACATCTCACGCCTTGATGCCTTCCGCTGCGGATCCCAGAAAACCTGCAATACAAACATAGTACAGTTCAAAATCTATCATACATACATCTCATCTGGTATCACAAATTATCATTCCAGGTTCAATTTAAAATTAGGGTTAGGTTACATGCTCAATATTAGGGCTGCACAATATTGAAAACCTTAAATAAAATATTTTGTTTATCTGCTGCTATATATATTGCGATATAAAAACAAATTTCAAGAGATTATTTATTTAGAGGAGTGAATTGCATTGAAAATTATAAACAAATTACAAGCATGGATAAATTCAATAGAAGAAAAATACAACTGAAATAAGCAGTGCATGATGTTTTTTAGGAAAATCTAACTTATCAGGTACGGAAATTGAATTATCGAATGTAAAATAAGTCTTCACTGAGGTACAGCCTCTCCCTACTCTTACAAAATTACAAACAACCAGCCTGAAAAACACATGTTGTATGAAGACTGTTTAAAACACCCCTCCTAATCCTCACAGAATTTGCAAGACAATGTCTATAATAAATAGTGTGTGTAATTTCTTCAGTACCGTCAGCAGAACCGATAATGTCTGGGCTTATACGGTTTTCCTTAATTTGGCCCCAGGGCCCGTTTAATGTTTAATACCGGGTTTCGGAACCTATCCCTACATATGGATGAAGGCCTGTTGTGTTCTGTCTCTTGGTTTGTGATAGTGGCAGCTATTGTGAAACTCACCTTCGTCATGTACTGAGTGTTGATGGCATCAAGATCTCGTCCTGAAGAATCACAGGGTCAAAGATATCTCATCTGGTAACAAGAGCATAGCCATAACTTTAAAAACTCTAATGATATCTTTACCCCCTG